CATGATTCTGCCTTCACATGCCAACCTATCAGAGTATGTGTACTCTGGCTGTTCAGCAAGGGGTTAATTCAAGCATTATGATTAGTGAACATTTCAAGTAGCTTGATTTGCTACTATGGATCATGCTGTATGCGGTATAAAATAGTAATATAGCTATTTAAGATTTTGTTTGGTAAAAAATAGAGGTCATCACTGGATGAATGTATATACTTCCATTGTGGATTGTTTAGTGAATGTTGTTAAAAAAAAAGATCAAAGAGAAAAATGTTAAGGCCTAATACCAGCATTGCTGAGAAAGTATATACATAGGGTATTTGAATTTGCATTATTTTACGCTATTATTCATTTTTAAACTTTTCGTTATACACGCACTTTGCAGTATATATCACACAGAAATTTTGGTTAGGGGTCTCTCACAACCCCCACAAAGCTAACATTAAAACAAAATTACATTTAGATCACACCCATATCCTTCATCATTTTAATCTACATAGGAAAAAATAGTTGATCTTTGAAGTTTATGATTTATTTTTCATTTTTGTACCCATTTTTAATCTAACCAACAAGTCTCTAGCATGTTTGATGTATGACTTCAATTGAAAGTGTTCTTTGATTTTCTGTGCCTTGTGGCTTTTTATTCGTAGACTGGAGTTTGAAGTAGTTTTAAAGATTTACACAATCTTGGTGTGATGTGTGTATATATGTAAGCTGAAGTCTGTGGCACCTGTTTCTAGCCATTTGAAGCTACCGAGTGCTGACAGACCACTGCAGTAGGATCACTTTCAATATTCTATGTGTTCTGCATTCATTTTAATACTGTGAATATTTGACTTATTCAGCAACCCTTCAAGCTTAAGATGTTCACATTTTGTTTAATATTCTCTCAAAATAGATGAGTATCTCTTTGGCAATGAAAATGGAAAAATAAAAACACATGCTCAATGGACTTGTCATGCACCTCCGGGGAATACAGTAATATAATGGGATGCAAAACTACATTGTGGAATCAATTTATGAATTGTTTTCACACAACGTAAACCCAGGATTCACTAATTTTCCCATTAATTAACTTTAGTAAATGTGTGAATCTTGGATAGAAAGTTGTTTGAACTTTGTGGAAAACATTTATAAATAGAACCCTAAGTATAGCTGTTATAACCTAAATTATAACCATAAAATACATCAATACAACATTCATCTTTCTAGCCTGAGTATAAAATGCAGTGATAATAATTGTTACACTTCATTGCATGTGGCCATTCAGAGCTAACCAGGAATCTATGGTAGATCACACAAAAATCAGTTTGCTTTTTCTGTTATTGGGTGTTCAAACTACAGAGTAGGAACTGTCTTCTGCTCAAACTTTCTATTAAAACCTGGAAAATGCTAAACCTGGTACATCTGATTTTTTTTCTTTTTTTATTTTCATTAACCCCTTGACGCCGACGTAACACAAATATGCGGCCTCACGGACCTGGGCTTTTTTCCGTGGGGCCGCATATTTGCGTACCTGTCTTTGTGCTGGGAGCGCGCCACTCGGCGCGCTCCCAGCACCAAGACCGCGGTGTCACTGAGAGCCCCGGGTCCCGTTCTTATGATCGGGACCCGGGACTCCCGATTCCGGGTCACGTGATCGCTGTGATAGTCTCTGATTGGCTATCACAGTGATCAATCACTGTGCAGCCCGGTCCCCTTGTTTTTCTCTCTCTCTATGAATGGAGAAGAGAGATACATTGTATCTCTCGAACTCCTGACATAGAGAGAGAAAAAAAAAGTTTGTAAAAAAAAAAAAAAAAGATAAATAAATATTAAAAAATAAAGAAAAATACCTAGATCAAGGTTTGATCTAGTTCAGTACCAGGGTTAGTGTTTGGGTCAAGGTCAGGGTCAAAGGTCAGGGTCAAGGGCAAAGGTCAGGGTCAAAGGTCAGGATTTAAAAAAAAATTGGTATCAGTGTCAGTTAGTGTTAATGTCAATGTCAGTGACAGTGTGTTTTATGTAAAAAAAAAAATAAAAAAAAAGACAAAAACAAAATGCGCACTGTTGTTTCTGGGCTGTACTACGGGTACAAACAACAAATAACATACACATATATGGTATCGCTGCGATCGTCAAGAACTGGAGAATGTATTTTGGGTTGTTCTTTGGTGGTAGGGTTATGGTCGTAACAAGAAACACACAGTTAAATTTAAAAAAATGATTTTTTTTTTACTATTTTGGCCCAGTTTTCCTTTAATAATAAAAAAAAAATTAGGAGCTATCCATGACCATTTACCACCAAATGAAAGCCCAATTTGTCCTGAAAAAAACAAGGTATAATCCACCTGGATGTACAAAGTAGTTGTGACGATATGTACGGTTTTACTAACATGTCAACGTTGCAGAATTGTGCTTAGGCATTTAGATTTGTTTTTACCCTTAGGCGTGAAGGAGTTAAGCTTCACTGGGGATCGTTGAACCAATTTATAAAAAGCACAGAGGAAAGGGATGCTGCCTGTAACCAGATAACAGGGTAGGCTTGTAGCCAAAGTTTGATCCTCAAGGTAAGTACCAAAGCTAACAAAGACCAATTAAACCTTTTTATAAGTACTAACATTGTGCAGTGATCAAATTTTGCATTTGCAAGTGTGGAAGACACAGATTCACTGGCCTATGTGGAAGTTTCCTTTATTTTAATTAAACATTTATTTGGATGCCTAAAATCTGTGCACCCAAGGGAAAGATGTCAACAGGAAAGCTAGCTATGAGAACAGAGGTTCTGTTCAGAACTAAGAAAGGGCCATTGGTTCCTTACAATACCCTACCCTGATAGCACTGCCCTGTTCTCAAACAATGCCCTCTGGGCCTAAAGGGGAAACCATAATGAATTTTTATTTCTAAATGAGAGGTATTCAGATCGGCACTGTGCTTAACTGCAAGTTCAAAAGATTGGAGCTTAACTGAAAGTTCAAAGGATATTGTGAAAGGGCATTGTGTTCTGCAAATTGATAACCAGACCATAACTAGTATAATCAATATGCTTTTCTTGTTAGAGATATTTCATTATGAATAAAAAATAGCACAATGCATAATATACAGTAATTACAACACCGATCATTCATCTCACACCAGTAAACATAGAGAAAGTACAATGTCGAAGGATGAGTACCATAGAGAAAGAGGAAAAAAATGTAAAAAATTAGGAAAAGAAGAAAAGGGGGGAGGAAGAGGTGGCCACTAGAAAACATTATGAAAAGGAGTGGGGTTAAGAGCAGGACATCTGAAGGGAAGACCCAGAAGGCTAGCTGCCTCTAAAAATAAGTAGAGGCATTCTGTTTATAGAGAGTGGAATCATTATCCAAAATGACCAAGTGCTAACAAATTAAGTTATCTCTACTGATATGTACCAGTTCCTATTTGATGGTGGGTATTATTGTCGATTTCCATAGTCTAGGGATCACTTTGAGCAGCTGGAAAAGAAAGGTGCGTTTGTACCTAGCAGGAGACATGGTGGTGTGGTGCAGTAGAAACTATGTGGGATGTCAGCGAAACTCGGGACCAGTGATTTTCTCTGTCAGGAGGTGGATCTGAGCCCAGAAAGGACTAAATTGTGGGCTAGGTCAAATGTGAAAATAGTTTCTTTGTCTTGAAGGTACCACCAAGAAGTCTCAGGAATGGATGCAGACATTTGTGCAGTCTCTTCAGGAGATAGTACCACCTACTATGAAGTTTATAGTTTTTTTCTTGTATATTAACGCTAATTGAACCTTTAAGGAGACCGTGTTTTTTCTCAATCATCTTCAGAGTAAGGTCAAGATCTTTGGCCCACACATGCACTGCTGAGATTCATCTTGCGGGTGCCACATAAGAAGGCATATATTTGGGAAACAAGGTGTCGCAGGGGGTGGTAGAGCTAAATAGACATGTGCAGTTTGTTTTGTTACAAAATTTGAATCAAAATTCAGATAAAATGTGTGTTATTCAGAGATTCGGATGTATCTGAATTTCTGAATCACATTAATAATGAATTTCAACGATTCCAAAATAAATGATAATGAAAACAACAAATTAATTTGTATTAATGTGTTTCATTTGGATGACACAATGCAATAGTTTTGGACTTTTGTTAATGTCTGAAACATCAGAAATAACATAACAGCATGAACGAATGAACAAATTGATTCAAATTCCATTTTTTTTATTCTAATTAGCATAGCTTGAACACCCTAATAAGATTTTTTTTTTTATATTGGATTTGAACTTGAGAGAGCATTCCTTAATTTGTATGTGTGTGGCCCAAGTCAGTTGGGAATGGGTAAATTACTTCTATTTAATAACTTAAAGAATGAATACATTTTAATTAATTACATTATAAGGAATATATCCAATCTTTCAAAATAACAAAAGAATAACAGAACTGCCAAAAATACAATATGATTCAGGACAACGAATATATACTGTCCTAAAATAATGAATCATTCCAAAAATGAATCATTCTAGTATAAGGAAAATGACTAAACAAAACTACCGCATTTTCCGGCGTATAAGGCGACTGGGTGTATAAGACGACCCCCTAATTTTCCAGTTAAAACATAGGTTTTGGGCTATACTCGTCGTATAAGACTACCGCCCTTCTGAGGCAACACCATTTAACCCCTAGCCTACAGGACACTTATACCCACTTCCTCCCCAGGCCAATTTTCAGCTTTCAGCGCTGTCATACTTTGAATGACAATTGCGTGGTCATGCAACACTGTACCCATATGAAATAGGTGGCACTGATGGGCACTGATGAGGAGGCACAGGTAGGTGGCACTGATGAGCATTGTCAGGCATCACTGATGGGCACTGAAAGGCAGCACTGATACATGGCACTGATACATGACACTGATAGGCAGCACTGACTGGCACTGATAGGCGGCACTGATGCGCACTGATAGGCGGCACTGATGCGCACTAATAGGCGGCGCTGACTGGCACTGATAGGTGGCACTGATTGGCAGCACTGATGGGCACTGACAGGCATCACTGATGGGCACTGAAAGGCAGCACTGATACATGGCACTGATAGGCAGCACTAATAGGTGGCACTGATTGGCAACACTGATAGGTGGCACTGACTGGCACTGATGGGTGACACTGAAAGGCAGCTCAGATGGGCACTGATATGTGGCATTGATGTGGCACTGATGGACACTGACAGCTGGCACTGCTGGGGCTACACTGATCATCAGGGCACACTGATCATCAGTGCCCTGATGATCAGTGTACATGTCCCCTCCGCAGAAAGCCAATTACCGGCTCTCCTCTCCTCTCGAGCTGTCAGCGTGACAGCTCGAGAGGAGAGAAATGCCGATAACCAGCATTTCCCTGTTTACATGTGATCAGCTGTGATTGGACACAGCTGATCACATGACTGAGTCGACATCTTTGGCTCTTTCCGTGATCGGTGATAGCTGTGTCCAAGGGACACAGCGCATCGCTGCGCATGCGCGGAGAATGGGAGGATGTCATATGAGCCAATCATGGCAAGTGATGTATTCTATTAATGAATATAGAGCCTGCTCGGATTGGCTGTGTCAGAGAGGCGGGCTCTGTAGATCAATCCGAGCAGGCTCTGTATTCATTAATAGAATACATCGCTCGCCGTGATTGGCTCAGCATGGTACACTGTATGTAGCTGAATCTACCATACAGTATTACCGCACATCCGGTGTATAAGACGACCCCCATTTGTTGAGGTATGTTTTTAAGTAAAAAAAGTCGTCTTATATGCTGGAAAATACGGTATTTACTTGACGAATGAAACCGAAATGAAACAAAACTAATTTCTCCATTGTGCAAATCTCCAGCGCTAAATAATTTCTCAAAGGAAGTAAGTTGTGCTGTATAATGGTGATATCAGGATGGGTTGTCGGGGAAATGTTTGATCTGCAGCTACGAAATATTGCAGAAAAAATGCAAGTTGGGAGAGGTCCCATAGGGACAAGTTGTCTGCATATGCAAAGATTTTACATTCTTTAATCAGGGACATTAGGCATATTGGTATTGTGTCTTACCATTTTTAGGATAGTTTCCAATGTGATGATAAAAATCAGAGGGGTAGTGGGCAACCTTGCTAGGTCCAGCTACATATATCAAAGGCATTTAAAAGGTAGCCATGAACATGCACTCTAGCTGTGGGATTCTCATAAAGAGTAGCAAGGCATGAATGCATTTTGTTTTGGAAGCCAAAATACTGCAAAGCCAAATCAGTGTAATCCCAAGCCAATGTGTTGAACGCCTACTCAACACTGGTTAGATAGGAAGAAGCTGGAAATATCCTTAGTAGTTGTCCAATGATGTACATTATGAGCTTTAATGGTGTTATTCCTTGATTGTTGGTTCAGGATGAACCCTACCTGATCTAGAAATATAACATTCAGGAGCAAAGGTAGGTTATGGTTGGCCAACACATGAATATTCACATTGAAGTTTAATAGGGATATTGTCCTGTAACTTGAACATAATGATGGATCAGTGCCTTCTTTTGGTATCACAGAAATGTAATCTTATAATATGTGTTTCAATGTGTGTGAAGGACAGTCAGGTGAATCAAATGTTGCAGTGAACTTGGGTATAAAGGTATCAGGAAAAGTTTCTTAATAATGGTGGGCCAGGAATTTTTGCCTTTCTGAACTTGAAATGTGAAATTGCTTTTTGGACTTCTTCGAAAGTGAAAGGGTTTTACAATGCACAGGCAGTAGAGTTTTAAATTTGTTGTATGAGAAAAGCCATAATATTTTCATGTCTATATTGGGGAGAGGTGTGGGGAGCTGTTGGTTGTAGAGTTTCTCTTGGAATGATTTGAACATGGAGGCTATCAATTCTGAAGTGCAGAATTTGTTGCTGGCTGTGGCTGTAATATATTCTTCTCTTTGAGTGGTGGTTGTGGAGTGTAGGGCTGAAACTGAAAATCTCCAGCTCTTCACTCTTATTTGCATGTTTGTAAAAAAGCCAGCTACATAGAGTATAGGCTTTAAGGACATTTTGGCCAGTAAGGTGGAGCAGTTCCTGAAGCAACTCCAAGCCCCAAGTCCACTCTTTAACAAACTCGTGCAGACTCCACCTCCGCAACATTGCCAAAATCCGCACGTTCCTAACTCCAGAAACTACTAAACAGCTCATCTACTCCCTCATCATATCACGACTCGACTACTGCAACTCCCTCCTCACTGGCCTGCCTCGCCACAGGCTATCCCCGCTTCAGTCCATCCTGAATACGGCTGCCAGACTCATTCACCTTTCCAACCGCTCCGTTTCCGCCACCCCCCTCTGCCAATCCCTCCACTGGCTTCCGATTGCGCAACGGATCAAATTCAAAATCCTAACGCTGGTGTACAAAGCTGTCCACCATACTGCCCCGAACTACATCACTGACCTAATATCCAAGTACTGCCCAGCACGCACACTCCACTCCTCACAAGACCTCCTTCTCTCTAGTTCCCTGGTCTCCTCCTCCCATGCCCGCCTCCAGGACTTCTCCAGGGTGTCACCCATCCTCTGGAACTCCCTGCCCCAACCCATCAGATTATCACCTACTCTCCTCTCCTTTAGGCGCACCCTGAAAACCCATCTCTTCAGGGAAGCCTACCCCGCCCCCTGCTAACTTGCCGACCTCCTCCACTCTTCCTACCACTCCATCCCCCACAGCGATCTCCTCCTGTACCACCATCCCCTCCCTCCTAGATTGTAAGCTCGAAAGAGCAGGGCCCTCGATCCCTCATGTTTTGCATTGTATTGGTATTGTTCTGTCACATGTTCTGTCCCCCTCTGTAATGTACAGTGCTGAGCGAACTATTGGCGCTTTATAAATACTGTATAATAATAATAATAATAATGAGGGTTTCAAGGTGTTTGTAGATCGATTGCAGAGGATTTCAAGATCTGTTATGTGTGCTGTAAGAGATGCCGTTTTACAGTGGTTTTTAGCCTTGAAACAGGCTTGGAGTTTAGGAGATCCCAATGAATGACACTCTTGTGGACCTCCCAGAGCATTAAAAAAATATAAAAACGAAAGAACACTTTTGTCTTTTAAATATTACAAATACAACAGAATATGTAAAAAGGAAATCAAGGCTGTAAATATTGAAAATGAATGATGGGACAGGACAAACCTCCAATAATTCTTAAAATATTAATAGTAAAAAGGTCATGTTGGAGCATGTAGGCCCTGTACAAAATAGTCTACAGTGGGTGATTGAGAACAAAGAGAAGGTACATTTATTAAATACCTTCTTCAGCTATGTGTATATAAATGAACATGAGGGAGCTCATGTCCATAATGGGCATGGTAATGACAGAGTCACAAATGATCCACAATGACTCAAAATTGATATGGTCCAGAAATATTTAGACAGTATAAATGTGAATAAAGCACCTGGAGTGGATGTCATACGCCCATGAGTCCTAAATGAATTGAGCTCTGTCATTTCAAAGCTATTGTTTCTAAACTGTAGACTCTTTAATGACTGGCATAGTACCACTTGATTTGGCATAAGACCAATGTGGTGCCTATATTTAAAAAGGGATCAAAGTCTTTATCAAGTAACTATAGACCTGTTAGTTGAACTTCTATAGTTGGGAAGATACTAATGAGTTTAATAAAATACCACATAGATGGGTTTTTGCTGGGTAAAGATATTTTAAGCAACAGACAGCATGGATTCATGAAAGACAGAAGTTGTCAAACAAATCTGATTTATTTTTATGAGGAGATAAGCAAAACCTTGGATAGAGGGGTGGCCATGGACATTGTATACTTGTATTTTGCAAAAGTATTTGATACCATTCCCCACACATGGCTAATGTGTAAGGCAAAGTTTCTAAATGGATAGAAAAGATGGTACATGCGTGGCTGGGACCGAAGATGACCACTATGTAACGGAGCTCCACTGCCACTCTGCTACATAAGCGACATCTAACCAGACAGCTGGGCCCCAAACCCCCATAAATAAGGGGACCAGCACCCCAGCAACCTCAAGAGCAATGCCGAGGAGACGGAAGTCCCCGGCAATTCCCCAGAGGTTTACAGACTTTTTCCCTGCCAAGGATACACGAGGCCAAGATGGTGACGGCTCATCCCTGATGATGGCACAGCCGAACCATCCCTGACACAGAAATCAGCTCTTACAGTCCAGACCCAAAGCTGCGAGCATCACTTTGTGATGGGGACCCAAGTGAGTCTTCTCCTCCATTCTCACCCACATATAGAAGCCCAGGTAAATCCAGACCCAGAATTGAAGATCCCACACCGAGCGACCCACACACATCAATTCCCTAAATAATCCTATACTACAAATCCAATCTGCTATAGAGGAATTCCCAGCCTCTGACCAGCCGATCTCTGAATTAGTAATGAAAAATATGCTATTGTCACTGCGACAAGCGCTACAAGGTGATATACCAAATGTATTAACCCCCATCTCCAATACCATTGCTGATCACACCAGACGGCTACACCATATTGAAAATCAGATGTCAGCCGTTTCCAGAGAACACAACACAGTAATGGACGCCCACGCTACTCATGAGTCTGAGCTCAATATGTTGAAAAATAAAGCAGCAGACCTAGAAGATCGCTCAAGGTGAAATAATATAAAAATTTGAGGGATTTCTGAAACGATGATAAATGACTCCCTACTTGCGTATATACAACAAGTCATGCAACTCTTGATCCTGACCGTTACCCCAATGGAAGCTGCTATTGGCAGAGCGCATAGAATCCCGAAACCATCATTCCTGCCAGCCTCCACACCGCGAGACGTCCTAATTAGGGTCCACTTTTTCAATCACTAAGGCCCTAAGAAACCATGGTATCACCTACCAATGGGGATCCCCTACTAAACTCATCGTCAAACATCAGGAAAGATCCTTCATCATCAGAGGCCTAGATGACGGCTTAAACCCTACTAAAAGAGTGGAAAATATTCCCAATGGAAAACTGCCAACCCCATCACAAGGAGGGTGACTGGACTTGAATCTTCTAGAATCGGCTTAATACTGCCTTTTTTCTCACCCTGTAAATGTCAGCCTTGTTCACTTGGCTGCTACCCACTATTATCCCTTGGTTCCTATTTTTTCTTCACCGCCCCATTTTGACAATAGTTTTTCAAACTACCCATGTTTCTTGCCTTCATTGCAAGAGTTTTTTATTGCCTGTTCATATACTACACTTATCTATTACAACCAGTCAACCAAATACCATAATATGCCTACCTTCCCTATGCACAGACCTCCAAGATTCCAGTTTTCCAGTGCTTTTTCAAGATACTCTATAGTCGTATCACACCCATCCTATCAGCCTCTTTCAACACCAAGATGATACAAGTAAAACTTCACAAAAAAGCCTTAAAACAGCTTGACAACAATGCTAACCCCTACATATAC